AATAATTTTTGATGTTCCCTTGCCTTGAAGACTTCCTCTTGCATGTAGGGGCCCAATTCCGTCTTCCTCTCCCATTTTCAATTATTTTGTTATATATACTTATAATATTTCCCCATATGTATATGTAGGGGCAGATCCAACCCTGATTACTAATATATCATTAAATTACTTGATATATATTAAAGATAAATCAAGTGTGATAAACCAGTCGTACGTCTTTCTCTAGCTTCTTCTTCTTATTTTTTTTAATGTGCAAGGCTTGTCTACTTGGAATTAATGAAATTAATCACCACCATTCATGCATATATTCGCTCTCGAAATTACAAGTTGTTAATGAAAGACTCGTTACCTGATGTCATACAATCAATAATTATAGTTTTATTTGTCTAATATTTGACGAAGACTAGTGCTCACCACCGTATTTAAGCATGTGCGAGAAGTGAGAAGTGTATCTGCACCAAAACTTTGCAAATTTAACTGAAAAATTAGTGTATTCAAGAACCCGAAATAATTTATAAAAATTAATATTTCTGACTAGGGTCTATATTTCGAAATATTAAACAGGAATCATCATTTTCTATCTAAATCAATATATATAACAGTTTATTTAATTGGTTTTCAAACCAAGTACACATGTATGAATTAGGTTGGTAATGTTTCCCTAAGCACAACTTTAACAGCAAGGAATTTCTTTTGATTTAGAGGGACACAATGGCCATTATTTTGTGTCTCAAGACTGTTTGTTCACCTTTCTTTTAACTTCGTTGGAAAGGGTTTACTTACTTTTTGTCTCTCCTTTTTAAAAAAAAAAAAATATATATATATTTTATAATTACTAGACGTACAGATCTTCTTCTTTCCTTTATTATGTTTGATAAATATATCATTATAGGTAACAATAAAAATTATAGAGAGGCTATATTGAACTATCATATTGATTTGTTTAGATATTTATAAGAAAAAGTATACATGTAACTTTGTATATATGGAATTATATATTTAAGGTTTATGTAATATCACTCTTAAAATTTATTCAGAAAACATTATTTTTCGTGAAGGTTGAACATATGTATCTATCTTCCTGGTCAAGCTAATCGTAGCTACCATTTTTAGTATAGCAAATAAGAAATCAAATGCCAAAGCAATGATATTGAATATTAAAATTGTTTCCTAAGGAAAATGATAATTTTCTAATTAAGTATAACTCTCTTTTGCTTCAAAAAGGAGAGAAAAATGAAAGTCTTTGTTTTAATTTTAAATCTGACCTTCAAAAATAGTCATATCGACGGTGGATCGGTCAGAGTTTATGATTGAAAATCAAATTGGGACCCAATAATAGCAAATGATATGAAAAAAAAAAATGAGGGTTCAAATTGGATAGCTTATGATTTTATTTAGTTTAAAAGATAAAACAAAGAAAAATATTTCCCTGGTAGTACAAAATCAATTGTTAACGATTATGATTAAAAACTATAACTTATGTTGTTGTTAAGACATTAAATCTTGAATTAGTTTATTTTTAAAACACTATACATGTGAATGGAGAGTTTCATTTTCAAGCACAAATCGATAAATACATAGGTAACAAAGAAGTTTTATTTAAGAGGGATCTATCTATATACATAATACATATGTATATTATAAGTATACATGTGAATGATTAGATAACCGCGAAACATTAATAAAATAAAAAAAGACGTATCGAGTAGTAGTAGTGAGAAAGTCATAATTTAAGCAATAAATAGAGGATCATAATTTCAACTATAAAAACAATATCCCGTGAGACACCTTACAGAGAAACCAAATTAAAAACAAAAAAAAAACAGCCATACGAAATCCATATTTTCTTCAAAAACTCTCCGGCGAAGGAAAAATTAACAAGAATGGTTTCGGTCACATCATCAGAAGCATCAAGGAGCCGATCAAAGAAGGTGTGTGTGATCGGAGCCGGACCAGCGGGGCTAGTCTCGGCGAGGGAGCTAAGGAAAGAAGGACACAAAGTGGTGGTGCTGGAGCAAAACGACGACGTAGGAGGCCAATGGTTGTATCAACCAAACGTAGAAGAAGAGGATCCTCTAGGAAGAAGCAGTGTTTCCGTTAATGGTGCACTCAAGGTCCATAGCAGCATTTACTCTTCCTTGAGGCTAACCTCACCGAGAGAGATAATGGGTTATTCGGATTTTCCGTTTTTGGCGAAGAAAGGGAGAGATATGAGGAGGTTTCCAGGGCATAAGGAGCTTTGGTTGTATCTAAAGGACTTTAGTGAAGCTTTTGGGTTAAAAGAGATGATTAGGTTTAATGTTAGGGTTGAGTTTGTAGGGGAAGAAGAAAAAGAAAAAGAAAATGCGAAGAGATGGATTGTGAGGAGTAGAGAGAAATTAAATGGTAAGGTTGTGGAAGAGATTTTTGATGCTGTTGTTGTTGCTACTGGTCATTACTCTCACCCTAGATTGCCCTCTATTAAAGGTACTTATCTATTAATTAATCGTTATTGTTGATATAATTTCTCCTTTAATCATCTTGTCGATGGTAAATATATCTAGGAGTTGATTTTTTGATTTTTGTTGAATTTATATATGTATGTTTATTGATTCGTTTTACTTGGTTCTTAATTTGATGATTATTATAGGAATGGATTCTTGGAAAAGGAAGCAAATTCATAGTCATGTTTACCGGGTGCCTGATCCATTTCGTAATGAGGTGACTGAATCTCTGTATATATATATATATAGCTTTAGAGTTGGTGATGATGATGGTTATGTTTATGGTTAATGATAATGATGGATATGGTGGTGATAGGTAGTGGTGGTGGTTGGGAACTCAATGAGTGGACAAGACATATCAATGGAGCTTGTGGAAGTGGCAAAGGAAGTTCATTTAAGTGCCAAGTCTCTTGACATATCTTCTGGCCTTTCCAAAGTCATTTCCAAACACCCAAACCTTCTTATTCACCCACAGGTTCTCTTTAATTACTTTCAATAGATTATATTTCTTTTCTTTTCTTTTAACCATGGATTTAAAAGTTTTCATTTCTTTGCTTTTGGTTTTGTAGATTGAATCTTTAGAAGATGATGGGAGAGTGATTTTTGAGGATGGATCTTGCGTCGTCGCTGATACAATTTTATATTGCACCGGGTAAGATAAATTGGATAAACAAAAATCTTATCTTCATCTATCGATTAATATTATTAATTATTACTATTAATTAGTTAATTACAAAACATAAAATAATCGCACCCTTTTTAGCTTTTTTTATTCATGCAAGTTGAATAACTTTTTGTTTCCGTTAGATAAGACAAATTGATGATGATGATGATTCAAGCTCCTTTGATAGTGATTAACTCGTAAGTCGTAACTAATTTAAGTATTCAACGTTAAGTTAAAGACTTAAAAGGCAATAATCGCGTCTTTGTGGGGCACTGTGGTTTCCATCGAAATCATAAAATATTGCTTCATGTAAGGATAAAATATTAATTTCAGTTGTAATCGATACGATAAAAAAAAGCAGGGAAATAAATTAGTCATACTACAAAATCATATCGATCGAACCAAAGATATAAATTACTGAACCTATATGTTCTCTACGTATTTTTAATTTTATTTTATAAATAAAGATGTGGGACTCGTAATGTCGGATTGAGTAGTGGGCTACAAATCTTTGGACTCACATTGCTCTTCTCAGTAAGATTCATCTCCCAAAGCTCTTGGGGCCATCATATACAATAATGATAATAATCCATTTTTTGTTATTTTTACAAACCTTTTTAACAATATTGGGGGGATTTGTAAAAAAAAAAAAAAAAAAACACAGGTACTCGTACAAGTTTCCATTTCTTGAGAGTAAAGGAAGAGTAGAAGTGGATGATGATAGAGTGGGCCCACTCTTCGAACATACTTTCCCTCCTTGTCTCTCCCCTTCTCTCTCCTTTGTCGGTATCCCCAGAAAGGTCTCTCCTTTTTCTTCTGATTTTTTTTTTTTCTTTTGGTTCACAACTACTAGTAATTGATTTTGATCTTTATAGTGTTTCTCTAAATTATTAAAAAGAATTAGTGTTTGCTTGCAGTTAATAGGATTCCCATTCTTTGAAGCACAAGCAAAATGGATAGCTCAAGTCTTGTCCGGGAAGTCATCTCTTCCTTCTTCCGACCAAATGTTGCAATCCGTCGCCGACTTTTACCGGTCCAGAGATCTCGCCGGAGTCCCTAAACACAACACTCACGACATTGCCGATTTCACGGTAAATAAACCTTTTCTATATATAATTTTTTTTTAAAAAAAAATAGAAGTAACGGTTTACTTTTAATTTCATAACCTATTTTTTTTTTTGTTAAATTCATCTGCTGTAGTACTGCGATAAATACGCGGATTATGTTGGGTTTCCACATTTGGAAGAATGGAGAAAGCGACTTTGTTTGTCTGCTCTCAACAATTCACAGGAAAACCTTGAGACGTATCGCGATTCTTGGGATGATCACGAACTCCTGCAAGAAGCTCTTCAAAGCTCTCATTTTACAAATCTCAACTGTTGAAATCTCTTTTGTTCTTATGTTTTCTCTTTTTTTTTTTAATTTTTGTTGTTGTTGTTGTTGTTATGTGTTAGAAAGAAAGAAGGACACTCATTCTTTCGTTCTTGTTATCTAGTTTGGTCTATTTACTTTGGTTGATATTTATATCCATACATTTATACATTTGTTTCCTTCAATATAAGAAAAATATAGCAATTTGGTCTTTCATGGTCATGGCAATGTAGTAGTAGACTGATAGTGATGGTCCATGAGAAAAAAAAAAGCTAGTGACTTTTGGAATCTTTGATCTAACTTGTAATACAAAAAGTTTTGAACTTTGAGTTAGATACCATTTCTAGTTTAAACAGTCATTATCTTCTAATGACCTACATAGCTAGCTAGACCCAAAAACACTACTCTCAAAAAAGATATTCAAAAGTTTCGGATATTTGATTCTCCTTTGTAGTCTTGATCTCCGTAACCAGACTTGTTCCAAAAAGCATCTTCACTAAGATTCTTAATTCTCCAAGACCATGAAGTAAAAAAAAACTATGGTAGGTATCGTAACCATTAACTAACTACCTTTTAGTTTGGCTATACTACTTAGTTGATGATCATATGCTGAATATTAGCGGCAGGGATTCTAGGGCCTCGTCTCCGCTTTGTTATGGCTCCCCAAGGTTTAGGTTTAGGAGGAGAGCCTCTATCATCGTGCTGGTCATCTTTGAATTTCCGCTTGGTCCCTCTCCTCCTCTGTTTTCTAAGGTCAATGCTGGAGACCGCTGTTTTGTTTGAAGAATTCGATGTCAGAATTGTTTTGTGGTGGTCCTCCAGCTTCATCTCTGTCAGTTGCAGAGTCATGGCCTCGAAATCGTCTAATTCATTGTCCTCAACAACCAAAGAACAAATCTCGGCCAGCCAAAGTAGATTTCTGTTTAAAGAAGTGATGCAATCAGAGGATTCTTGATCGAACTTTCTAGACATATCAACTATAGCCTCAGCTGCAGATATTTCTTGATAGTTTCCCTCTTTAACAAGAGATATCCTTTTGCTCTTCTTCCGTATCTTTTTCGCAACTACTTTGTGACCCTTACTCGATATCATATTTGTTTTACAATGCTTTCTTTTCCCTATATTCTTCCGGTTTCTTGCAGATTTCACCTTAGACAAAGAACTTGAACTCCCTTTTCCCTTAGTCGCCTGCTTGCTCTGAGATCCTTTGGTTTGACCACGTTTTACCTTCTTCCTTTGCCTTGATCTTCTCACCGATGACTTAGAAGACTTTTTCCAAAGTAAAATGGTATCTAAACATGGTAACGCTTGAACTATCCCTCGCGACTGCTTCGATACGTGTTTTTCATGCAAAGAAACCGATAAGCACTCTTGAGGTATCTCGGTTTCAAACTTGTTAACAATATCTACTTCCTCTTCAGAAGAAATGGGAGACATGTTCAAGTCGATTCCATACCCTGCTTAAGTAAAGATCAATTAAGCTTCAATATATCAAGAAAATATGACAAAAAAATGCATAAGAAGAAATCAATATGTAAACATAATAATGTTACATTTTCTTACCTCCTGATGACTGTTGGCCTTGCGCTTCATTCATTACTGAATCTCGTCCCTCATTCTTTTCATCGGACTCTTTAACAATTTCATTCGATGTAACTGGACTCGGGAACTGACTCAACACATTATCAGAGTGTTGTTCCTCGATCTTGGCCGGTTCATTCAAATCGAGTTGCAGCTTATTCAACTGGTTACTCGATTCCAGAGATTGCTCTTTCAGAAAGTTTGAAACTTCACAAACTTCACCATTCATCAAACCTCTCTCTACCTCTCTATCATCATACTCAATAACCGGTAATTCCAGATCCAAGACCACCTTTTCAGACTTCTCAAGATTATCTACAGCTTCAGTTCGATTAGTAAAGTTTCCTTCATACAGAAAATCCCTAGTTTGATATGTGGAGACGCTCGAATTCATCCAGTGTGTTCTAGGGAAACTAGAATCTAGGTGCATGGCCACGTTATGTCGAGTTCCCTCCATTTCCATCATAAGTTCCTTCTGCCTCCAATACAGACGATGAAGCTCATGTACCTGAAATGAAAAAAAAAGAATCAAACTCACACTTTTAAAGCACCCGAGATGGAAACATTACATCTTAAAACAAGGAGAAACAAAGAAAAGCACCTGACTTTTGAAGACAGTTTCTTGTACAAGCATTGTGTGCTTCAATGTCTCCTTCAACTGTCTAAGATAAAGGCCACAATACAATAAAGAAAATGTATCATCAACATTCACATTCACGCCGGATCTATTGGTTAAGACCGTATCAGTAGTGTCCTGTGGAGGAAACAAACTCCAGCCAGTTCTCGCATCCGTAGTACAGTCACGGTTTGAGTAATTGCAGCAGCCTAGGGAAAAGCTCTTGTGCTGCATCTTGCATTCACTTCACACTCTTAGCAAGATTTCTGTTTACCAAGAAAGAGAAATGAATCAATCTTTATGAACTTGTACCAACTTGTAACAGATTTCCATTAAAATGCAAAATTCCACAAGGTATCATCAAACTTGTTCTTTGGTTCATCTCTTTCACAACAAAAGTTGCAAATAAACCTGTGGGAGATGAAGTTATTTATTTGATTTTTTCTTGGCAGAAGTATACTAAATTTACCCTAAAGATCTGAAAGACTAATAAACATCATTTTTGGTAGGATTATCATAAGTGGTTGAAAATAAGCTTTCTTAATAAAATTAAAACAGGATACACTGTAAACATAAAAGACCGATTAAAAGATGAAACTTGAGTTAGGTTCGTAGGAGACTGAGAATAGTAGAGGAACTTAGTAATGAAGGAAATTTAAGATATAAAAGAGTATGAAATGAAAAACAAAAGTAAAAAAATCAAGAAGAAACCAAGAAACCTTATCAGTAAAGTGACAGAAAAGGATCTAACTTTAGAAAAAACAAGGACAAAGGAACAGTTTTTTTTTTCTAATCCTATTGAAGAAAAACCAATCCAAGGATTTTCTGAGATTCGTCGACTCAACCTTCTGTACTTGAGGAAGCTGCTGGGAAAACAGAGACGGAAAAGAGCTCCCTTTTTTTAATTTTCTCGGGAAAATGCAAAAAAGGGAAAGTGCGATACAGCCCGAAAGAGGAGGGATTTAGTTTTTTTCAATATCGATGAAGGAACAAGAGTGTATCTGAGATCTGCTGGGCCATTAACTTTGGACAATAAAGAGATTGGATGAGAGAAAAATGGAGAATTTTCCCAGGAAACAAACAGAAAACATGCAGAAGAAGTGAAACGTGGAAGCTGAGAGACCCACTTCAAGAAAAGAAGCAAAGATTCTAGTTTTTTTTCTTCTTTTTTTAACCTTCTTCTGATTCTTTTTCTTCTTCTTCCTCTTGTCTTTTTCTTCTTACATTTAATCTCTCTCTCTCTCTCTCTCCTTACTTTTCCCGAGTCTCAGAAGAATTATTCTCTTTTATTCAAGTTATATTATTATTAAAAAAATACTAGATATATCTATATATATAAATACAACAAACCGATTCCCATTTGTTGTAAGATACAAAAATATCTTAGAAACCAAAAAAAAACCAACGATTCGGTCGAATCGGGCAATTTAGGACAAAAAAACATTTAAGACCACGACATGATATCCAGTAGCAATCAAAAATGTTGTGAAAAAGGAAAGGTAAAATCAAACTATGGAGAGCAATTAGAGGGAGTGTGTTTTTACTTGTAATCAAGAATTATTTGCAGATAAGACCACACAAGTTTATATAATAATATATACATGTCAAGTAAGTGTAGCCGATAAACCTCTGACTGTATCACTTTCTTTTGGTGGAGAATGCGGAGGTGGATCCACCAAGAGATGAAGTGTGTGCTCCTCCACGCATCTGTGGATGTGGTGGCGGTGGTGGTTCTTCAGGTACGGTGGTGCTCTTCCACGTCTCTGAGGTGGTGGTGGTGGTGGAGGAGGTGGTGGTGCACCAGGCACTTTGTAATAGGATTGCTTGACATTCTCTTGGTGTGCTTTCTTAAACATCCTTATAAAATTCAAGAGGGTCGAAGTAGCTGCAGCAAGAAATCGATCATTTGCTATATAATAACAATCAACTGATTTTCTAATGTATTTTCACAAAAGAGGATGATATTTCCGCGCCAAACCTTGTTCAAATGAATAACGGTAGGGATCCTCCCCAAAATAATACACAAGTGCATCAGCATTTCTTCCCTGTCCATCATTAATATTTCAGGATCAAAACACATTGTCAAAGGTAAGGAGCTTAAAATTCTAGTATATATGTTGAGAAATTACCACGGTGATGTAAAGATTCAATACTGTTCGTACTTCAGTCTCAGCAATGGAGTGGAAGTCCTTCAATCTCTGTAATCAGAAACACATAAATATAGGTTTTAGGAGATCATTTACCAGCTGCTATATTGGTTTTACAATATGATGATGATGATTAAGTTTTGTGGTACAATCATGGAACTAAACTCAAAATTCATGCAAAAGAAAAGAAAAAATATAAAAACCAACATACTTTACGGAAAACTTGAGAAACAGGACCATCACTTTCGGATGCAGTGAGCTCCTGGTTCAGTTTCTCCAATCCTTTGGTTATAGCTTGCATTTCCTCAGCCAGAGACTTCGATTGTATCTGAATCGACACAGGACAATCGAATGATGAGAGCCAATTACACAACTAAGGAGTAGAGAACGGGAAAAGGCACACAAACGCAAACCTTTGACAATAATTCAAGACTTTCAAGATCCTTGTGGAAGTCCAGTAGATCTGATGCCTTGGAAGCAAGGACCTGGAATAACAAAGAGGAGAGTTTTTTAGTACTATTTGTGTATCATGTGGAAGATAATGCAGGAGAGTCCTCTTGCAGTTAGACGCTGCATTTTTCGATTATAATGTACCTTGCAAAGATAATGCAAGAGAGTCATTTTGCTGTTGGGATCGTATGTATCGCTTAATTTCAATAAACTCTCCAACTTGAATCCCACTGCAGAGCCTGCAGAAAGAAGAGAATGATAAAAAAGCAGTCATTCTTGAATCAAGCCAACATTAAACAGAGAAATCTTACTGTGTTGCGTTAGGAAATGTCTTCAACTTACCCTTGTCAGTTCCTTGGTTCAATGTGTTCCCCAGGTAAAGAATACTTTTCATAATTTCTTTTAGCTTTTTTGAAGAACGGACCTGATGAACAAATAAGGAGAAAAAGTCGAAGAATGAGGAATTCATATGGACTTCACAGAAATTAGAGTTAAAAATATCGCAAGTATCTAACCTCCTCACACGCAGAATTTACCGCATTTAAACTTTTTTTGAATTCTGTTATCTGCACAGAAATCCTCATTAATTAGTAATAGGACCAAGAATGTACAGTTACGTAGACACTGTTGAAACCAACAAAAGTTTTCAGATAGACAGATAATAACAGTAATACCACCAGACCTTAGTGCCGAATTGAATCTTGAAGGAAAATACCCTCAGCTTCGATTCTACTCGTGGCACCTTCATTAGCTCTAGGAAGTACTGCAGTAGCAAAAATGAATGAGAGAAGAAAACGTATTAACTAAGCAAATTGGTTAAGATCGTAAGAACCAAAAACACAGTGTGAGATTGGTAGACTAAAACAGACCTGCTCACACTTTCCCAAGGCCGCCTTGTCACCAGCGTAGTTCTACAGCAAACCAAGAACAGTGACTCGTGTTAAGTAATAATGGTAATAACCAAGAAGAATAACATATATCACACAAAGCCATCCAAAATAAAGAGAAGTAAATAAAGCTACTCAATAGAAAAGAGGTAACCTTAAGAAGTTCCATCTCTCTCGTGCTTGGGCAAACCATTATAAGATTCTCTATTTGATCAACATCTATTACAGACTCGTCCATTGACAGAACTGCAGCCTGATGATGCAATGAAAGATGTGAACAATAAATCATTCTACTATAAAAGATTAACCAGTACTGACTTGTACTCAAGTAAAGTAGGTTTAACAGCTTAATTACCATCATATCAGGCAGCGGCATCTTTAAGTTGGCAAGGCTAATTTCCGTTCTAAATGCCCTCATAAGGTCAATCTCGAAAACCATCAGAAAAAAAAAGAAGAAAATACATCAAACAGAGTGAAGTTATTAAATTACAAAAGCATAGCATACTTTCTGTCATATATTTATGACTACATGGCCAAAGTCTCCAGCAGAAAAGAGCCAAGTGTTTAAAACATTGAACATGTACCAGAGGAACTTCTTCAGGTTTTTGCACTGTAGCAGAGAAAAGGAGACTAGCAGAGAAAAAAGTCTCTATTTCTGATACATCAAACACTGGTGCACTAGCAGAAAATAAGAGGAAAAATGGATGATGATTAGGTAATGCAAAATCAATAGTCAATAACATAGGTGCGAGAGAGAGAGGGAAAATATAAAAGAAAGAGGAATGCAAGGATAAAGTTATGTCCAATACGTTAGTCCTTCTCCATGTCTCTGTAACTCGTCCCATAAGCTCCACGCAA